CAGATGGGTTCACAGCTGAATTCTACCAGATGTACAAAGAGGAGCTGGTACCACTTCTTCTGAAACTATTCCAAGCAATGCAAAAATAGTGAATCCTTCCCAAATAATTTTTTGACACCAACATCATCCTGATACCAAAACCCAGCAGAGACTCAACAAAAAAGAAAACTTTATGCCAACAACCATAATGAACATAGATGTGAAAATCTACAATAAAATCCTGGCAAACCAATTGCAACAGCACATCAAAAAGCTTATCCATCACGACCAGGTAGGCTTCATCCTGGCGATGCAAGGCTGGTTTAACATAAACATACGCAAGTTTATAAACGTAATCCACCACATAAATAGAACCAAAGACAAAAACCACATGATTATCTCAATAGAAGGCCAGAGAGTGCCTCCAACAAAATTCAACAGCCCTTTATGATTAAAAACTCTCAATAAACTAGGTATCAATGGAACGTATCTCAAAATAATGAAAGCTATTTATGAGAAACCAACAGCCAATATCACACTGAATGAGCAAAAACTGGAAGCATTCCCTTTGAAATCTGGCACTAGACAAGGTTGCCCTCTCTCACCACTCCTATTCAGTATAATATTGGAAGTTCTAGCCAGAGCAATCAGGCAAGAAAAAGAAATAGAGGGTATTCAGTTAGGAAATGAGAAAGTCAAATTGTCTCTATTTGCTGCCCCAAATCTCCTTAAACTGATAAGCAACTTCAGCAAAGTCTCAGGATACAAAATCAATGTGCAGAAATCACAAGCATTCCTATATGCCAATAACAGACTAAAAGAGAGCCAAATCAAGAGTGAACTCCCATTCACAATTGCTACAAAGAGAACAAAATACCTAGGAATACAACTAGCAAAGGATGTAAAGGACCTCTTCAAGAAGAACCATGAACCACTGCTCAAGGAAATAAGAGAGGACCCAAATATATGGAAAAACATTCCATGTTCATGGTTAGGAAGAATCAATATTGTAAAAATGGCTATACTGCCCAAAGTAATTTATAGATTCAATTCTATCCCATCTCCATCAAGGTACCTAAGACCCTTTTCACAGAACTGGAAAAATCCACTTTAAACTTCATATAGAACCAAAAGAGAACCTGCATAGCCAAGAGAATTCTAAGCAAAAAGAACAAAGCTGGAGGAATCATGCTACCTGACTTCAAACTATACCACAAGGCTACAGTAATCAAAACAGGAGGGTACTTGTACCAAAACAGAGATACAGACCAATGGAATAGAACAGAGACCTTGGAGGCAATGCCACACATCTACAACTATCTGGTTTTTGACAAATCTGACAAAAACAAGCAATGTGGAAAGGATTCCCTGTTTAATAAATGGTGTTGGGAAAACTGGCTAGCCATGTGCAGAAAACAGAAACTGGACCCCTTCCTGACACCTTACATTAAAATTAACTCCAGATGGATTAAAGACTTAAACATAAGACCTAACACCATAAACACCCTAGAAGAAAACCTAGGCAAAACCATTCAGGACAGAGGCATAGGCAAAGACTTCATGACTAAAATACCAAAAGCACTGGCAACAAAAGCCAAAATAGACAAAAAGGCTCTAATTAAACTCGAGAGTTTCTGTACAGCAAAAGAAACAATCATTAGGGTCAACTGGCAACCACCAGAATGGAAAAAAATGTTTGCAATCTACCCATCTGACAAAGGACTAATATCCAGGATCTACAAAGAACTAAAGCAGATTTATAAGAAAAAAAACAGACAAACCCATTCAAAAGTGTGCAAAGGACGGGAACAGACACTTTTCAAAAGAAGACATATATGAGGCCAAAAAACATATGAAAAAATGCTCATTATCACTGTTCATTAGAGAAAATGCAAATCAAAACCGAGATAACATCTCATTCCAGTTAGAATGGCGATCATTAAAAAATCTGAAGACAACAGATGCTGGAGAGGATGTGGAGAAATAGGAACACTTTTACACTGTTGATGGGAGTGTAAATCAGTTCAACCATTGTGGAAGACAGTGTGGCAATTCCTCAAGGACCTAGAAATAGAAATTCCATTTGACCCAGCAATCCCATTACTGGTTATATATCCAAAGGATTATAAATCATTCTCTTATAAAGACACATGCACACATATGTTCATTGAGGCACTGTTTACAACAGCAAAGACATGGAGCCAACTCAAATGCCCATTGATGATAGACTGGACAAGGAAAATTTAGCACATATACATGATGGAATACTATGCAGCCATAAAAAAGGTGAGTTCATGCCCTTTGTAGGGACATGGAAGAATCTGGAAACCATCATTCTCAGCAAACTGACACAAGAATAGAAAAATCAAACCAGCATGTTTTCACTTATAGATGGGGGTTGAACAATGAGAACAAATGGATACAGGGAGGGGAGCATCAAACACTAGGGTCTGTTGAGGGGGACTAGGGGAAGGACAGCAGGGGATGGGAAGGTTGGGAGGGATAACATGGGGAGAAATGCCAGATATAGGTGATAGGTGGATGGAAGCAGCAAACCACATTGCCATGTACGTACCTATAGTATTGCAAGTTCCAGCCAGATGTGCACATGTACCTGAGAGCCTGAAGTACAGTAAAAAAATCTATCTATCTATCTATCTATCTATCTATCTATCTATCTATCTATCTATCTATCTATCCATCTATTAAAAAAAGTAAATAAATCACCCATTCTGCTTATTTCTTTTTTTTTTTTTTTTTTTTTGAGACGGAGTTTCGCTCTTGTTACCCAGGCTGGAGTGCAATGGCGTGATCTCGGCTCACCGCAACCTCCGCCTCCTGGGTTCAAGCAATTCTCCTGCCTCAGCCTCCTGAGTAGCTAGGATTACAGGCATGTGCCACCATGCCCAGCTAATTTTTTGTATTTTTAGTAGAGACGGGTTTCACCATGTTGACCAGGATGGTCTCGATCTGTTGACCTCATGATCCACCTGCCTCGGCCTCCCAGAGTGCTGGGATTACAGGCTTGAGCCACCACCATTCTGCTTACTTCTAAAACACTGGCATAGTTGTCTTCTCCTGTCTGGGTAGAGTACTCAGTGAGGCAACCAGACAGAAATATACTCAGTGAAAAAGATAAGTACACACCATGAACCAAAACCATACTTTGGTTTCTTTAACTCTCATTTTGGTAACTCTATCATTCAAATGATACCCTGAAAATTAACTTTATCAAATGAGTAAAATTACCTAGTAATTTTCCCACTATACAGTTTTCTTTATCATGGCCAAGAAGAAAAGGATCTCCCAAAGCTGTTCTCTCCCAGTTCTTATAAAATTTACACGTGATGTGTTGTCTCTCTGAAAGCTCACATCAAAAGTCAATGTGAAATAAACACACAAAAACATGAACCAACTGCATGCTAAGCTCTTCTCTGATACCCCTCCAAATGACTCTAGGGCTTATAGTTATGTCTGGGCGATACCCTGAGGGCTGACTCTAACTAATGAAAAACCAAATACATCTCATTAATTTCACTGCTCTGGGCTACTGAGAGACCAGAAATTTCCAAAGCCCTTTATGAATAGACATCATATTTATACAGAATAGTGAGACATAGGACCACATTTCTTTGAAGCACCATACCTATTCCTTTCATCTCTACTGCCTGCCATTTTGGACAGTTTATCCTACACTGATTCAAATCTCACCTTTGGGATTCTTCTTGCTAACTCATACGGTAGGAGAAACTAGTATTTCATGGCTATTTCTGTCTTGTATTTCATATGAAGCTGTGTAGTTTTGGTACTCAGAAATAAAAAGTGTTAAATTCAGATCAACCCACATTACCAATAGGAGAGCTGATCCACCTAGGATTTTAAAATAATCACCAGCATTCAAATTACATCCAGAGATATCAGAAACTGCACCCCTTAAGCACATACCTCAATATGGTTAAAAGCTTAGATTTGATAATATTGAATAGTGAAATTCATACATTTTGAAGAAACTAGAATGCTAATATTGGAACTTACAGATGCTTAATTCATCCATGATATTGCACAAATAAGCAAAATTAACAGATAATTTAAAACTTTAGCCATTGGTTTCAATATCTTTCTTTAGCAGTTCTTTATTAGAGCTAGATATATGAACCAAGATTGACTGATTCATAATTGCTGTTTTCTCCATTATAGTAATTATCTTTCTAAAGAGGAGGAAAAAAGGGCCTGCAATACAGTTACAAGAGAGACGAGGGAGCTAGAAAGAAAGCAAAGAGAGGAAATAGAAGGAAGGGGAGGGGAAAGAATGAGGCTTCAAGAAAAGAAAGTAGGAAGTATAGTTTACAGGATGCTACAGAAAAAATATGGATGTAATAAAAAATGCAAATTGGTTTTTGGATAATTGAATGAATGGCATTTATACCTGATTTCTTTAAAATAATCCAACTGCTAATAATTTTAAGTGATGTATAATTTCAATATGGTATTCTGCTAAGCATGTTCGATACTAAGTTACAATGTTCAGAATCACAGTGCCTATTTGCATGCGAGAAGTTAAATAAAAATAATCTTACCGGAGGATCAATAGCCTGCTCTGTTTGTGATCTCATGTAAAATTTTGGCAAAATTCCCAGAGGACTTTAGACTAATGCATAGTCCTATGCAAAGTTCCTTACTATTACTAGGGTTTGAAGCAGACATGTGTAGACTTCCTCTTCCAGCTGAAATCCAACTTAGTTAATAGCAAATGGAACTAAATAAGAAAAGATCTAAAGATACCTTGGGGAAGTATCCAGTGTTTCTTGGAGATGCAAACCAATCAGAATGGAAAGAACAGAAGGTAGTATAGGTGGAATAAATGACACCTCAGGCTGGCTCATCAAGTAATCATAATAGTCAAAACATATAACAATCAGCTTAAAAAATAACTGTTCATTTCATATCCCACAAAAGAAATCAGCAAAGATTTAGCATAAAAGATAATAAAAGACAATAAAGCTGCTTCAGAGAGGACTCACCTGTCTTTTCCAGTCTCCTTCTTAAAAACTCCATCACAGTAACTCATGCGCTTCTCTGTGGTCACATATATTTGGGCATTTGGATAGACATCAACTGTCTTTTTCAACATGTTGTAAACGATGCCATTGCCATCTTTCCTCATATTGCGGAAAGGGCCCCAAATGACATAAATAGTAGTATTTGCTTCCTTGAAAAAATAATCAGGGTTTTTTAGCAAAAGAGGAACGCTGGTATGGGACACAACTCGAATCATGGTCATGCGCCCGACATCTTCCTCATAGCCCTTGGTGGGGGCATTGTTCATTCTCCAAATGCAGGAAGATTGATCTATCTCGTTTCCCACCTTCTGGCCAACCATCTGACCTGAGTTTGACACTATGGCACAAAGGTCGCAGTCTAGTTGCAAAGGCTGAAAACAGAGAAAGAAGGCATGCCAATTAGTAAATTCCACTTAGTCAAATAAGTTCCCCTGGTAAAACAAGAGTTCAGATACTGTATAATTACAATACAGAAATATCTCTACAGTACCTACAAATACCAAACCCACAGTCTCTGCCACAGATTATCAAGTTAACACCATGCTTCCATTAAGAAAGAAAACGTATGCTGTCAAAAAATAATTTTAATTTCTACAATCCCCATGTGCTGGTTTAAAATTATAGCCAAACAATAGTTATTTGTTTTCCACTCTAAATGATAAATATTTTATTCAGAACTATAATTTCAGGTGAAGTAAGAAAATATGAAAAGATTTGATCTTTGTAATAAGGTTGGTGGCTATAAAAGAAATGCAAAAGAAGCATATCTGGGGGTCAATTATGTATTTTACTTACATGCATGAGTGGTTATAAGCAATTGATAGAAATATGAAGAGTCCAGCAAACAATGAGGTTATGAAAAAGATTTTCAGAACCCGTAACCATTTAAGGTAAGCCCCAGGCTAGATGAAATATTACAGAGATCTTTCAGAGATTCCCTCAAGTCATCGTGTTAATTGGCTTTTGTGTTTATGTTTATTCCAGATGGATAAGGAAAGGCCTTCTTTCAGATGGGAAGGCATCTACACAGACAGTCTCTAGAGCTAGTGTAAGTCCCTTTCTCCCTTTTCATTTAACCATGGAGATAATAGAGACTCACAGAAGTTAAGCATCGCCTTTCAGGCATTGGAGATGATAAAGTTGCAGTGTTGGATTCAAATCGAGATCCTCTAACTCTAAGCCCACTGCCCTTTCCATTACCCTTTGCTTTTGTTTCGCCTACAACAACCAAATAAATTACTTTTGCTGCTTCCCTCTAACAGTCACCCTCTCTTTTAAAACAGTAATAAAGAAGCAATGTGCTTTGTTGATATACATCTTTCTCATCTCTCTTCCGTGAGATTCCACATTTTGTATCTGACATTTGCTCCTGAATTTTAATTGTGCCTGTTGGTGAGCAGCCTCTCTCAACTGGGTGCTGTCCTTTTATAGATTGTGTTGGAGTATATTGTTTAATTATGTCTGTCCATTAGACAGTAAACTATGTCAGAACAATGTCTATCTTCTTCATTTTAACCCCACTCCCCCGAAGTCCCTGGAATACATTAGGGGCCCAATTGGTTAAATTAGGATATGAAAGCAATTGAATTAAAATAATTACATTGGTATCTAAGACACTGCATAAAAATTAACTGGCTAACCATCGTACAACTGTAACAGATCACTGTTCCTATCAACGGTAGGCCCTCACAGCAGTCATAGAGCACCGAAACATGTCAGGCACAGTTCCGGGGGTTAGAGTTCAGCTGTGAAAACTATAAACAAAAATCCCTGTCCTCATAGAGCCTATATTCAAGTTGGGTGCAGGAGAAAGGCAATAAATAAACCCTCATACCATATAATATGTTAAATGTTGCTAAGTACTAAATAGAAAAAATTAAAGCAGGAAAGGAGGTTAGGAGGGGCGTGTGTGTGTGTGTGTGTGTGTGTTGCTGGAGTAATCAGAAAAAGACCTTGCTGAGAAAATATTTGAGGAAAGACTTGAATGAAGTGAAAGAGTTGGCTATGAGCATATTTAGGAGAAAAGCATTCCTACAGAGCACATGCAAAAACCAGGGCAAATACCCTGAGGAAGGAAAGGAATAAAAGGAAGAGCAATGCAGCCTGGCAGAGCCAGTGTGGAGAGCCAAGTAGATACTGGGGCCAGACACAGAGCGGGGGAGAAATCACTTAGGGCCTTTCATTTTGTGCAAGATGAAGTGCCATTGAAGGTCTCTGGACAGAGGAATGACTGAACCGAGTTACATTTTAACAGCTTTGGCAGCTGTGTGGAAACTTGATAAAAATCAGGCCAGGGTTGAAGCAGGGGATTAGGCTGCTGCTAAAATCCCAGCAAGAGAGGACAGTGATGTAGGTCGTGCTGAGTAACAAAGGAGACGGAGAGAAGCTGCTCACATTCTGGAAATATTCTGAAGGTACAACCTATTGAATTGGCCATAGATTGAAGGTGGGATGAGAAATAAAGAGAGGAGTCACAGACAGATAGCTCCAGGTTTTCAGCCTGAGTAACTGAGTAAATTTCCTTCAACTGAGGAGAGAAGCCTTTGGGAGAACAGGATCTGGGAGGAAGATCAGGAGCTCATTCCTTTTCAGGCCATTTAGATTTGAGGTGCCTGAGTGCAGACTCTTAAATCAAATGTTTTAACAAACTATTCAAACTGCTTTAAAAATGTTTTCCCCCAAATTAGTAAAATAATATGGAAAACTTGAAAAACTAGAAAGAATGGATAAAATGATTAAAAAGAAAACTCTCCATATTCTCATCACTCAACAATACTACACCTATTTTTGTCATATTTTTTCCTTCCTACAGATATTATTTTAGACAGGTTGAGAAATACCATTTATACAATTTGGCTACCTTGGTTTTTCACTTAATGAGACACTGTTAACCAAAAATCATCAACATCTCCATGTCAGCCCTTAGAGATAGTTTTAATGCCTGCTCAAGATTCCATTATATGGATATACCATATGTACCAATTTGCCTACCGCTGGGCTATTATCTGCTTTTTTTTTCTACTATAAAAAAAGTGCTTTGATGAACATCCTGTGTTTCCTGCTGCATTTTTATGCTAACAGTTATTACATTAACTTAAATTAGTTTTTTTGATTTCATTTTTATTTGTGCTCATATAAAATGTGCTAGATTGACAAAGGCATCTGTTTATTTCAAATGTCAAAGATAAAACTTTTGAAAAAACTTGACTTGCAGAATGCACAAAGGCCCATTTACAAGTTATCTTAAAACTCGGCTATGAAAGAGACTGTTCATCACCCCCTCCACAATAAGGTTTCTCAACTAATGTGAGTAGCAGGCAGTCCAGGCACCGGATAAGGCACCATACAAGGTGAGTGAGTGTATTAGGACACTTGGAAAACAGGGTTTTATAGGTTAGTGCCATAGTGAAGACTTCACCAATGACTGAAATGAAGGCATAAGAAGATGCCCTTTGGGGCACACATTGATTTAAGACCCTTCCTCATCCTCATAGGAGCCTACCTTCTTTTAGACAACAGGGAAGAACATAATATTTTTCTTGCCAGACGATTTGCAGCAGAGCCTGACATCTATTACTCTTAGCCGAGTCCTCCAATTCACATAGAGTCATGCAAATCAATGCCTGATTTAAATTGTGTGTGTCATATGGCATACTCCAACTTATCACCAAGATGCATATGGTGCGGGGGGTTACATTCCATTTACTATTCCAAGAAGTTGCTTCATTGTATAATAAAAGCATGGTTGGGGTATAGCTTCCACAAATTTAAACAATCAAAGAGAATAAAAAGAAAAGGCCTTGGATGTGTTCTAATCTATGAAATGCAGCAAATTACATTGAATTTCCTAGTCATTATAGTGCATTAGCCAGTTCTGCTGTAACAAGGCTTAATTTAACTAATAAGAATCAGCATACTGGTCTCACTTGACAATTGTAACCTCTAAAAGTGATCAATTAAGACATCACAATCTGTTTCATGACAACATATTGGGATGCCACAGCTGTGCAGATTATGAGGTCAGTAGCTAACTAACAACTTGAGGGCAAACATTGGGAACAACAGTCTCTTGTTTATGTGACAAATATGTCATTGGCAGAGTACTATGAATGCAATGGCGTTGAGGGTAGATGGTGATCTATAAAACTGCCACTTTGTTTTTTTGTTTAACTATTCACTTGGCCCTGCTGTCACCATGGCCATCATCTTAAGAGACATTTACACTTCCTGGTCAATACTTCCGGGTAATAGCTTTGCCTAGCTATCTGCCTTCCTAAATAAGGTACCAGGAGACATGGATGAACATGATAATTGCTCTGTTTTACCACTTGCAGGAACCATTTTTTAAGTATGACAAGAGTGTGGGGCCAGATGAATGAAACGTTCCTTATCATAATCAGAAGCCTCAGGTAGCACAAAAAGCCTGCTTGCAAAACCCAAGGGACTCATTTATATATTTGAAGTCACCTTCAAACTACAGTATGCCATGATAAAAAGAAAAACATACCTAGGCACAAATGGACAATTTGACCCCAAATCTGCTCTTATCTAGTTATCTCAGTTCTTTTATTAGCTTTATTGCTACATCTTATGATCTCAACTTTCTTTGTTAAAGTGTACTGCTAGTTTTTGAACTCATTTATATTCTTTGATTTGGGGCTCTGCTTGAACATTTATTCCATATGTCTCCACTCACTCAGTTCTGCTTCAGTGAGCAGTTACTCTCTCTTTCTAGATTGAGGCCCTAGATTTTCCAAGACCTTTAGATTTATCCAGTTTCACTTTATCAAGCCCTATCAAAATTTTGAATTCTCCTTTTATAGTTGAACTGTCTCTATTTTTTTTATTAAAAGCAAACTTGTCTTCTTCATCTTGTCTCTTGTACACTCAGAACATTTTTGAAAACATCTTGTACATTCAAAATACTTTCACTGGGCTTGGGCTGTGTCTATAAACTGAGAGCACCACAACTATTCAGCCAACCCTGTCTGCGCCCCTATGTCTTTGTTAAAGAAACCCCCAAATGTCAAACACTTCCTTTTATTTAAGATATAAATTTTGATTTTCTTTTATGGTAATGACACTATATTTGTTTTGGCTATTTTCTTCCTCTGAAAAAGTATACTAACTCTCTACCAGCACTTTTGGTTTCAAAACTATCAGCTTGGGAGGAGTTAAGAATTTGGTGACATCTATTGAATAACCACATATTTTTTATTTAGTAACTATTCTGTGCAAGGCACTGTGACGAGTAAAATAATTTTAAAATTCTAATCAGTAAAAACTTAATCTCAATACACAGAGTTAAGCTGTATGGGGGAGTCATGATCAACTACAGTCAATACCTATGCTGTTTTAGAGGCCTAAGGGA